ATTGGATCTCATGTGAAATAATTGAGTTCCAGTTTTGTTCGTAATTTTTGTGAGTTTCTGGTTAAAAACTCTTAGCCAGTTTTGCATTTGTATGCATGCAGTGGATGGTAGATGAGAGTGAACTTCATGTCATTCACTATACGCTTGGCCCCCTTAAACCTTGGGACTGGTGGACATCTTGGCTCTTAAAACCTGTTGACGTCTGGCAGGTAGTACCTTGACTCCCTTGCCAAATTGCCTATACTTTTGCAAAGTAATGCTTTCATTTCTCTCTTTCCTGCTGGGACCTACATTGGTGGTGGTTTAGAGCCAAATTATTAATTTCACTATGCCAGCAGCTTGGTTGTATTTCTGCATGGGTTTATTACCAATTTTATGGTGTGTGGTAGATGAGAATGAGATGAGTTAGATTTTATGATGTAATTTATTCTTTTACTCCTTGAAATAGAATATATTATTTCATTTTATTGAGTTTGCTGAGCTTGCTTCATGCTGCAGAGAGTCAGGGAACAACTTGAGGACTCTCTTCCTGGAACAGGAGGGGGCAGAAATCCTAATGATGAGCTTCTAGTCAAAGTTCTTTTCTTGTTACCATTTTGTGTTCTGCTCTTTTGTTTTTACCATTCTTTCAAGGTAAGCAACTAGAAGTATCTTTTTCTCTAAGTGGAATAGCCATGCGAATAATTGTTTTCCAACCTTCAAACCATATTACTGTTGATACAGACAAGGGAATGTTCGGGTTTGATTTGTAGAAGTTCATTATTCAATCAGATCAAGCACCTTTGCTATAATATTCGGTCAAATGTTGCACTGGCTTACAGCAGTGTTCAATCTTGTGCCATTAATTCCAGCCATCAAGTTAGTTTCATTACCCTTAAGCTGATTGATTTATTGGTTTAACAAAGTTCCATTTTCTTCTTGATGTGCTGAAATTCGCAACTTTGCCCCAATATTTTTACATGTTGAATTCTCACTTTTAGTTTGTTTATTTAATGTTATGCAGTTCTCTGTTGGTTCACAAGCTAAGATACCTACCTACCTTGGTGGACTTTCAGTCTTTGTATGCTTTATGGCTGCTGTGGTGTCTCTTGGATTTTCTCTTTCAATTGTGCCTCGACAAGTGATGCCATGGACTGGTTTGCTTTTGATGTATGAGTGGACATTTTCGATCTTCTTTATTTTGTTTGGTGGATTTCTCCATATGATTTATCTGTGGGGTAGAAGAGCAGCATTTCAAGTAGGATCATTCTCTTCCGAGAGGGAGTCTTTTGATTCTGATTCTGGAAAAGGTTTGTCTATGTGGAATATGTACATATATTACTATCATATCATGTATGTTGATGCATAAAGTGATTTGTTATATACATTCTCTATATTAATTCAAAATGCTTGATAATTCTTTTACACTTTTTTCAGGTCATCAAAGGACAGCTTCATCTTGTGACATTGCTGCATGGTATTATGGGTTAGGGATGGCATTTTTAGCTGTTGCTGCTCCATCTTTACCATGCTTGTTTGGAATTACAGCCCTGTTTTCTAGGTAACTAACTTTGACTTGGATCTTGTCAGGATATCAATTTCTATTTTGCAGGATCACGAAATTCTGATTGCCAAACAAATGAATAGGCATATAAATAAGATCTTGTTCTTATAGATTGTCATTATTTCTCTTTACATGCATGTTGTCATGATTTCAATTGGAATGAAAACCATGAATTGGTTTCGAGAAGATTTTCTTATGCTTTGATCACAACAGGGTTCTTCACTTGGTTCACAAGTTCCCTCTTGCACTTTGCAATTCCCAAAGAGACATTTTATTTACTTCTGAATGACATCCTTGATCAGGTTAGGGTTGATGGTGGTCGGAGGTATAATCTTGGCATCCTTCATGACATATGCTTCAGAGCATCTTGCTATTAGATCCTTCTTGAAAGGCGTTCATGACCAGGACAACACAAGACCAAGGAGCTTGTGTTCCTTATGATGAATGGGGAACTCAAAGTGCCATTGTAAGTTAAAAGCCATCGGTTTCTTTAGTTATGGGCTTTTTTGTTTTTGTTTTTTTTTTTTTGTTTTTTTTGTTTGATTTGGGATAACATGAGTATCTGAACCTTTAGTTTGACTAATCCCAAATTTTTCCTTCACCCTTGAGTGCTGGCCAAAAAAAAAAACTTTGAGTTGTTGTAATATACTACTATTCTTTACGAAGATTCATTACTCTAGATTAAAAATTTATGGTTCAATGGACAAGCTGTGTCTTGTATTAAAAAAGTCCTCAATGCTTCGTGTGGTGGTTAATATGTGGGTGGTGTCTTGAATTGCCAAATTCTGAAAAGGAAGTAAAATGTGTTTTGCGGATTTATTAAATCTTCCAATGATGCTTTGTTATGCATAAATAATTTTTTTTATAGACATTTTGGATTATTGATGGTAGAACTTATTTGCTATTATTATTGGATGACTAATTGCCATTTGGCGATGGAGCCATTTTCTGCCTCCTGTGCTATCAATGAGAGTCGCCCTTGCTGAGTTTCTCTGCTTTCACTGTTTTCCTACTGTTTTTTCATCCTTTTTTCCTTCTATTTTCCTTTGTTTTTTTTTTTTGTTTATCTACTCCCAAACACCCGAAAACCAAAAAAATTCGGTAAGTTTCTTTTCTTTGATTTCTTTCCACTAAATAAAGTTTTGGTATGGCAATTTTGGGGCTATTGAGTTTGAGTGGGTTTGAGTGAAATGAATGGCAGATGGGGAACAACCCAGTCACAGTCGTGAACCCAAGGTCTGTGACCAGCACGTTTGGTCTTCAGATCTGCATTTTGAGCTCAATCTTGAGAGTATTGAAGGTGCATATAGGGGATTTAGAGTTGGATGGTAATGGTAAGGGTTCTGCTGATACTTTGGAGGCTTGTGAATCCCTGCTAGGGGCTTTATTGAAGGTCTATATGTCTCCGATGAAAGATTGCACTGATTTGGATGTTGCTTTGAGTCTTGAAGGGTGTGGGTCTTCTTTCACTACTATGGGTTCAAAGAATCAGGTAATATTGAAACCTAAACTTGAATTTGATCTTATTAAGATTATCGGTTGTGGAAATGTGAAGATGCTTCTGAATATGATGATGATTGATTAGGTTGTGAGCTTAAACTTGGTGTCTAAGGGAATGAGTAAATTCTAATCTTGCAGGGAAAGCTCTGAATGCAAGTTTTGTTACTGGTATTTCAAATAATTTTTGTTGACAAAATTCTGGATAGGTCTGTTATTGACAAGATAGTGAAGCCAGTGATGGTGGTGGTAAAGCCATATGGAAGTCAGTGCCATATGGGTGAATGGCTCTTCCCAGTTCAATGTGAGTTTGCCATATATCTAGTCTCGAAGGCCGTCAATCTGGCTTTCCTCATGATTAGATCTCCAATTCGGAATTGCCAAGGTCGGACTTTCTTGTTGTAAACGTTAGCCAACTGTTGCTTGTATGCTAAAGACCTCAATCTAGCAGCCTCTCGCTCCTTTTTGGTTCGATCAATATCGTTCCTCAGCTACTTCTTGTTAGTATCTTCATTAAAGTTGTTAACCCTCATGCTGAGAACTCGTATCTCAACTGGTATGACAGCCTCGGTATCCTTGTTTTTGGAATGGGTTTTAGTTTTTAATGGTTTAACACTTCAATTCTAATGACTTAACGTGTAGTTGGAAGCTACTCGTATGTGAAACGAAATGAAAACTAGCAAACTAAAAACTTACGTGTAGTTGTTTGGCTAGTTGTATGGTAAGACCAAAGAACGCTGTTCGTCCACCCATTTGCCCTTCTGTTTTTCCAATCGAGGCTGAACGTCTTCCACAAGAATTTTGTTCACGGATTCCACTATCCATTTGCTTCAAGATGGTAAACAGCCTCAAGCTTCAGCTTTATCCCATAACTTGAGCAGAATTCCTTGAAAATGCTACGACTTTCATTGCTTGCAATGATTTTGTTCGGAATCTCATACACTCAGATAATAGAGCAAAATATAAAAAGTTCTACTTTCTTCAAAGTCAGGCTAGCTAAAAATCTAGTTTCTACTCATTTTGTGAAATAATCAAAATCAACTATCAAGTTTGTTAAAGTCCGTGTGCTGCTCTCACTGGTGGACCAAATGGATCAATGCCCTACTAAGCAAGGGGCCAAGCTACTACTGTATTTGTGAGTTCTCTACAACTTGATAAGTCTATGTGGGCAAAGAATTGGCTCTTCAAAGAATGCCAAACAAATGCTTTTGCATCGACTAGTATGTTGGGTCAATAATAGCCTTGTTTTGATATCTTGTAAACTTTTTTTTGGTGCCTACTCAACTTTTTATTACTCAATTTCATTCTAACTAAATAAAGAGAGAGAGAGTATTTTCCATGGCTACTGTGTTGGTCACGTTTTTTTTAAGTGAGAAACAAGTGAAATGAATTTCGATTTATTGGTTGAATCTTAAACTTAATTTTTTTTAGACGGATACTAAATGTTTCATGCTTCTTCAAAGTAAGAAACGAGTGAAATGTATTTTGGTTTGCAGGTTGAATCCTAAACTCGATTTTTTATATATGAATACTAAATGGTTTTTTTTTTGTTAAAATAAATAAATAAATAAATAAAGATAGAAAAAGAGAATGTAGACCATTCCCTGACTTTCCCCCCTTTTTTCAACCAAATCCCAAACCCCAGCTTGGAAAAAAAAAAAAAAAACAACCATTGTTCATACATACACGCACATTTCTTATCCTCACATACCCGATGGCAGCAGAATGCCAGTAGTACAGAACTCTCGTTTGTTAAGTACAGTGTCAGTGAAATCATCCAAATTCTCGGTTTGCCACAAAACCGTCATGGAAGTAGAAGTGAAGCTCAGGCTTCCAAACTCCGATTCCCATCAGAAACTCTCCAATCTCCTTTCGCCCTTTCACCTCAAAACCTTTGTCCAAGAAAACTTCTTCTTCGATACTCCGCATTCCACCCTTGCCTTCGCCTACTCCGCCCTTCGTCTCCGCTTCTACAATCTCGATTCCCACTCCGTCCTTTCCCTCAAATCCAAACCCAAACTCTCCCAGGGGATCAGCCGCGTCCAAGAACTTGAAGAACCCATCAGCCCAGAGGTTGCGCGCTCTTTCGTGGCGAACCCCCGAGAATTATTGGGTTTAACTACTCCTTCCGTAATAATGAAGAGGGTTAGGGAAGAGTTTGGTGTTGATGAGTTGGTGTGCTTGGGTGGGTTTCGGAATGTGCGGGGAGTGTACGACTGGAAAGGACTCAAATTGGAACTCGATGAGACAATTTACGAGTTTGGTGTGAGTTATGAGATTGAGTGCGAGACAACCGAACCTGAGCGTGACCGGAGGTTGATTGAAGGTTTGTTGGAGGAGAATGGGATTGTCTATAAGTACTCGGATGTTAACAAATTTGCCGTGTTCCGGTCAGGAAAGTTGCCGGCGGCGTGACTGTAAGTTACATTGATATGGGCTACTCTTAAATTATTAATGATAAGAATTTATCCTTCCTTATTAATTGATTATATAATCAGAATTCTTCTTTGGGTTCGTTATGCTTATTTGAAATGCAATTGCAAAGAATATGCGTTCTCATGAAAATGATTGAATTTTTTTTTTATTTTTTGGACAGATGAATGCAAACATTGTAGTTGCAAATGAGAATTTTCTGGTAATTTACTTATTTATTCTCTGTTGATGACTATTCTTGCATACTTCTATGGTAGAAAATAGGGCTGAAGTTGGGTTTTTAAGTCACACATGGGACCTATTAGCATAATGGATGTCAAACTGTAAACATGAAGTTCATTTCCAATCCCTTGAAACCAATAAGCAGGATCACTTTAGAATATGCACAGAAATAAGTCCTCAATGGAACATAAGACTAGATTATGATGTGATAAGATGGTGATTTATATGAATTTGCTACCTTTTAAAGAGAAATTTTATCCCATCAAGAACAGGAAGTTACTTCTTGCCAAATTTCCTATGTTTCTCTTTCACAATTGTGTTTGCTAATTTTAGATGATCCATCTTTCACTAATATTGTTAAACTAAGGCAGCTTTTTCCCAAGGAAATGCAGTAAATTCATTAATAGGAAGTATATGCTAGGAATTCTTCTTGAGAAGCAAAGCAAGAATGAGACTATGAGTATGTGTCACTTGTTGAATATTGATCCAGGTAGAGTCATTAAAAGTTTTAGTATTGAAACTTCCTTAAGACTGCCATTGTATCCTAGCATATATATAAGAAACAAGCTCGAGTGAAGCATAGTTACATTTTTGTTAGAACAATTGTATTGCTGCTATTGCAATGAGAAGGCTCTATATTAAGATCTCGCTTTGGGTCATCGCATATGGTTTAGATTCAAACACATGGATTTAGGGGATACCTGGAAGAGGAGACAATACACTTACTAGAGCTCAAGGAGTTCAGAAAATCAGAAAGTAAAGAACCAGATCATACTTTGTCCAAAAAGGAAAGAACCAGATAATACTCTTATTTCATGAGTTGATGTTAGAATGAGCAACAGCTCATGTTTAGAATGAACCAGATCATACGTTGTCCAGGATGAGCAACTGCTGTCACTGGGAGAGAGTTATGCGCAATGCCACCACTGTCGAGTAACAGAGCCATTTTGGCTTTCTAACCAAGTGTGGTTTTAGTAATGCCAATCTAAATACTTTCTTGTTATAATTATAAAGGGGAAAAATTAATTAAAGAACTCCATCTTGGTTCTGAACGGATATGTCACTGATGAAGCCACTTGGCTAAATGATGCTTTTTGTAAGGTTGCAATTTGCAAAGGTTGGGCAGGCTGCCGCTGGTTCAAAAACACACACAAATTGTGCAAACTTCATGTACTCTAACTTTTTAGACTAACCTCCTAAGCTGATTGTTTTGTTGAGTGCAGGATCCAATAGCCATGTAAGTCAAAAAAATCGGGGGGTTGGGTCTAGACACTGCGTTTTGTAGATCCTCTGGCATATATGCATTTGGCTGACACTGTAGCTCTAGTCACTAGAGGATGGGATCCAATAAAACTTGAAAGTGGGTGCTTGCTGTAGGATGCACAAAATGTTCTGGGATTTTGTTTGATGTGTGCAGTTATGCAATTCAATATTTTTCTATAGTTTTTAGAATATAATTTGATTCCTAGGATGTCGCCCGCACGGGATCCCTGAAAATTTGAGGTCTTGAGTCATGACATTTGTTTAAACTAGAAAGTGACAGAATTTTCTTTTATTAAAGAACTTCAATAGATATGCATTTTTTGTTGATTCATCTAGTTTAAGAAAAAGATAGGTTGAAGTTGGATTATCAACAGTGGAGGAAACTGGATCAAGTACTTGAATTTGATTAACTCATCGAAGTATTTGGTCTGGTTGCTGTTTGGGTAGATCCTTTATTAATCAAGGTTCCTTAATTCTTCCAGCATTTTTTTTTTTTTCAATTTTAGTTTGGAAATGATCTGTCTTTGATTTCTACCACTCCACTTTCACAAACTCCACACTATTACTTACATATTTCTAAAATTCGACTAAATGCAGTTTTTAAAAAAGTTTTTGATTTCTACCATTGAACTTTTGGCCTAGAGGTTAAGGAGTTTTGATAAAAAGCTGTTAATGAATTGAGTCAAGTAGCTAAGTACTCATGCTTGAGCTCGTCTTGAAAGCTCAAGCTGAAGTATTTATCAAGATCAACATAGGTTATACTCTCAGAATTCTAATGAAATTTATAAAAAATAATAATAATAATTAAGATTTTTCTAGAAGTTGTTCAAACTTTTTAAAGACTAGAAGTTGGAGGTACATTCTGACGATGATGCAACCTTTCTTAATCTGATAATTTGCAATTTTAAAATTTCTTATAAAAGTTTTTATATGAATTTGACTTGTTTGGTATAAAAGTTAGCAATTTTATTCAAAAGTAAATATTTTTTCAACAACCACTAAGTATTTAGTTTAATGGTAGCTATAAGAGTTTGAAATCAATCCTACTAGCAAATTGAAAAAGTTCTCAAAAGTAAATTTTTTTTACCTTAAATTCAAGGTTGCAGAAAGTGTTAGGTAATGGGATTATGGGAGGCAGTTGTTCACAACCTAGAGGCTAAAGTGCATAGGCAATGTTTAGACTGCCTAATTGATTTTTTTTTTAATAATAATTTTTAGATATAATTCTAAGAATATAAGAAACAAATGTAAAACAATTTTAAAAATTATAAAATAAATAAAAAAGCATTTTTTTATTCATTATCATGTCTAAAGAGTAAAATTTAGAAAAATTACTTGACATTTAATGTTTTTTTAATATAATTTTTATAATAAATTACATGATATCATTTCATTCGATTAAAAAATCAATAAAAAAAATTTACTTAAGCGTTTTAGGCACCATTAAATGCGCCTAATAGTACTTAGGCATATTTAATTAATTTAAGCGATACAAATCATATTAAATTTTTGCATAAGGGCGGATGGGGGTAGACTGACACTACCTAGAGCCTAGGCGGCAGCAA